ATAGTAACACCATCCTTGTAAAACCATCTGCTTATAGAATCGTAGTAACACAATTTCCTATACAAACACTATCGTCAGTAATGCAATCCACCTATAAAATCTTAGTAACACCGTCCACCTAAAGAATCTTTGTAGCATAATTCACCTATAGAACATTTGTAATGGCGTCCGCCTATAGTAACACCATTTGCCTTTGTAAAACACATACAATACACCTAGTAAGACTATCTGCCTATAGAACCTTAGTAGCATAATCTACTTATACAAACACTATATTTAGTAATGCAATCTACCTATACAACTTTGGTAACATCCTCCTACAGTAACATGCCCTTTGGTATGCAACTATAATGTCACCCCTGCCTTAAGACAGCTATGCACTCTGGAACCACTTTGGCTTAGCAACACATACTCTGTTGAGTAACACTCGAACTATGCTGTCACGTGACATTTCTTAAGAACGCGTTCTTTGGCACCATATAACTTCCATTGTCAAGTGTCATGAAAACATTCACCTGTCATGGCGGCTCGACAACGTACCCTTTGGTTTCACTTCGTGGAACCATGACTCCAGAGACATGGAACTATGTCGTCATCGTCTTTACAACCTCCCCCTGAAGCAACTAATTAGTCCGCGCATCTGAACAAAGATTCAGGATAAAAAATAAAGTTTAATTGCAGATGTTCTTTTCTACGAAACTCCTCTTTGTTAGCTTATTATGGATCTCTAATCAGGGGTGTGTAAATTCAAACTTATACTTCGTCCACCAATGATTATCACTGTCCAGAATTTCTTTTGTTCAATGCCAGAACTCGTTAGGTTCTCTAGTCTATGGCAGCAATAGGTCTATGTGAAATGCAGTATAACATATCTAATATAAAAAGCTAAAGACTGGCAAAGCAATGGAAACCAGCATGCTTAATAATCGCGACTGTTTATTTTTGAAAGTTGCACAAAGTTATACATAGGCTATATGCCCATAACCATCCCTAATTTTGAGCCGATAGACTAAACAAAAGGCAGATAGTTAACAGCACCCACTACCAGGCTACTCTTGTCTCATCGAATAGAGATTTGACCATTAATATAATAAGACAACCATAGCCCCAGAGTACAGTGCGTGTATTTTGTAGCAAAAGGTCGCAAACCATGAATAGTCGATTTCAGTCTGGGCCAGCTAATTTATGAGCTACGCCCATCCTTAGTCACGAGTGACTGTAGATGTATCTTTTTTCTGGATTGTTAAGATAACTATACTATAGAAAAATACATCTGTAGACAATAATGACTTTTATGACGATTAGGCTTATTGATTTACAATGCTTCGCTACTCTTAAGCGTTTTACAGTGCAACTACCTAGAAGATTCTAACAAAAAACCATAAGAAGTTTCAAACATAAAAACCAATAACACTAAAGACATTTCAACATTGAGATGTAAAGTATTAAACTTCAGGTGGAGATTGTCATGGATATATATATATATATGTATATATTGAATATAGTGAGCATTTGTAGTTTCTGTGTAATCTATATATAATGCACAGCAATGTGCAAATATATGTCTAGACTAAGATACAACCTCCACAACTAAGTGCAAAAAATTTATCAGTACAAGCCTTTTCAAATAAAACCTATACGTCTAAAACAGCACTTTAACTAAACCTCTGTGTCTTATTCTATTATTTAATATTATGTGTATTGTTTTTGTTTTACTCCTTCACTTTATACATAATATAGGGTTGGCTCCCTAAAGACACCGATTGTATAGTGTACAAAGCACTGAGTATCTACATATTACAATCATCTAATGTTCATCTATTATTGGGTGGTAATTCCTGTTTCACCCCGTACTTAAGCTTTTTAAAGGAACACCAGATATTTAGAGGTATTCAAGACGTAATGATAACATCCTTTAGACTAGAATTATGATGTTTTTTGGCTTATATAGAATATAAAAGAAACAAATTGACTTTTCAATACCACCATGACCTTCCCGGTACTATATTTAGAATTCTCTAAAAGGTTTGGGTGCAATATACCAAGTCTTCTTTGTTGTAGGCTGGCAAGAGATTAATAATAATAATTACAAACGGATCTTATTATGCAATTTTCTTTTCCTTGTAAGTCTAACATGTTTGCTTTTTTTTTGTTCATTTTTATATATGTACAGCTTAGTAGTAAATAGTAAAATTTTTAAAGTGTTGTTAAAAAACTTTACTGATTATCATAAACATTACGTTCTTAACTTTTTAACATGGTATTTTCACTAGACACGTTTCGAACAAATACAATTCAAAAACAATTTCATCATACCTATAAATTTAAAAAAATTAAAAAAAGTGTTTTGCATTTGTGTGTGTGCAACCAAATGTTAATGAGAAAACAAATATACAAGTATTTTTTTATTAATGCCACTAAAACTCTTATGGCGGGACGTTTTTTTTTTGTAACAAAACAAAATCTGTTCAATTTATTCTAATGCTAAACATCTTTATTTAACAAATATAACAATATAAACTTTTACGACACTCGTCTTTCTCCCGACAGTAACTGTCGATTTTAACCTGAATACAAATAATACATACATGCAAAAAAAGGTTTATCGTCTACAGTTACGATAGTATGTATTAAATAACAGTTTTAATCCTTATGTTACAAGTGTTGTCCTATGGAATTCATTTACCCGCTCTCTCGAATATTCGGAATTATTTTACAGTTTTGTACCTTTTCATTGTTCCTACTCTCAAAAACAATTAACTTCTTGACTTCCCAGAATAAAACTATTATTTTCCAGTCAATTTTGTTGTATGCAAGTACAAAAGCTTACAGTTACTACAACAAGTCAATATATTCAAACCGATACCGATACAAAATCTAATGTTTCGAAAATTGAACTGCTCTCAAAACCACAAACCGAATAATTTCTATGTATCTGAATTAATTCATTCTTCAGTGTCCTTTCGAATAGTTTATGGGACTGCTGTAGGTTTTCTCATATGTTCAATTTCCTCTGGCTTAATATGAAAGTAAAAGAACATTTTAACCACATAATTTAAAACATATACTTACTAACCTTTTCATACTAACTGATTTAGTTGGTTTAAATAATTCTAAAAGAAACTCCAGTAAGATGGACTAAAAACGTTTAAACCTTCCAATTTAAAGATAGACATATCAAATGATAGTAAGTTTTCAGAAATTGGTGAAATGACACGACATGGGGGTTTACATTACATTTACCAAATTAATCACTGCAGTATTTATAACTTCCACTATATTTTCGTGGGATTTAAAAGTTTGTGTACGTGTGAATTAAATGGCTAGATCAGAATCCCTAGGGTTCAGGTACAACTCTCCATAATTTGGCACAACTGCCCAGAGAGAGAGATCAGCCAGTTAGAATCTCCCACTGCCAATAAGGGCTTTGTCTGGCAATTTGACTGAATAACAGGATTGACAGAAAGTTTTATAATGCACCCACAGCCAAAAGTGAATTTTCAGCAGCATTATGTTTCTAACCTTGGACCTTTCAATCTACATCCTAGTATGGGAACCACTAAACCATGTGTTTTTGATAGGCCCAAAATTTCAAGAAAAACAGTGATACTACCCACCCATTCTGATAAAAATGATGATAACTGTGAAAGAGCATTAGTTATTTGCTATTTTAAACTATTTCTGGGTGAAGTTAGACAAAGTAAAAAGTATGGGAAATTTTAAAGAATTGTGGGCATAATCATTCTGACACCCACAATTCCATGAGAACGGGTAGGTATTTTAATTACTGATGTATTTGTCTGCTAGCAACAAAATTTAAAGGTGTTCCAAATTTATTTCCATTTTTCCCTCTTATTAATAAAATGAAATTAATTTTTATTCACTTTTAACCACAATTGTTATTCAATTCTAACAACAACAAAATTAAACATTTTTGGAAGAATATCAATTAATCAAGAAACAGAGAATGAGTCACATGACACTTTTGTGATTTTTCAATGCAACAAATGAAACTACACTCTTTTAACAGTGGATTAATTTTATATAAACATTATGATGAAACACAACTGTAAACAGAACTCCAAAACTATGTTAACCATTGCTACGAGAACTCACACATTCTTAGTGCCAAGAAAATAAAAAAAAAGTTTCTAGCAACAAGTTTCAATCTGAATTGTTCCTACATACAAGAATGATTTAGCGCAAAGCTACACAATGGGCTATATGTGCTCTGTCCACAGGAAGGAATTGAACATGGATTATAGCATTATAAGTCCATACACTTACCAGTGACCTAACAGGGCACAAGAATAAGTTGTGTGAATAGAAGGAATCACGTTCAAGACAAATTCATCTTTATTTTTGAGAAGTAAAAATCAGAGAGCAAGAGACTAAATTTTTCTGGTCATGAAAACTCATTTCAGGTTTTATGTTGAGTCCATCAGCAAAAAGTCTGATGAGAGCATGAAATACAAAGCATTCTCTGAAGGCCAAACAAATAGAAAAGTCCATAAAAATACAGTTCACATGTTAAACACAGTGGCTAAATACATTTTCAAAGATGTTGGTGAAAATGTGTGCTATTTAAATACAAATATGGAATACACCACCACTTTTAGTGTTATGTCAAAATTGAAGGATAATTTGTTTTACAAGTTTTGAAAAGAGAGAGAATAATATAGAACAATAAGTATTGACTACAATGCCACAACTTACTGTAGAATTAGGCTTACACTACATAAGATATACTTGTCTAATTTTAAAATAAACTTCTTAATAAAGACAAACTCAAAAAACAAACAGAACTTGTTCTTAATTTTATGGCATATCATCAAAAAGGTTTTTGATAACAGATTCAGTTTACCTTTTATACTAACAATTAAACTGAAAAATTACCTTCAAAAACAAACACATCTTGTTCTTAATTTTATAGCATATCATCAAAAAGGTTTTTGATAACAGATTCAGTTTACTTTTATACTAACAATTAAACTGAAAAATTACCTTCAAAAACAAACAGAACTTGTTCTTAATTTTATAGCATATCATCAAAAAGGTTTTTGATAACAGATTCAGTTTACCTTTTATACTAACAATTAAACTGAAAAATTACCTTCAAAAACAAACAGATCTTGTTCTTAATTTTATAGCATATCATCAAAAAGGTTTTTGATAACAGATTCAGTTTACCTTTTATACTAAAAATTAAACTGAAAAATTACCTTCAAAAAACAAACAGAGCTTGTTCTTAATTTTATGGCATATCATCAAAAGGGTTTTTGATAACAGATTCAGTTTACTTTTTATACTAACAATTAAACTGAAAAATTACCTTCATTGGAATAAAATGAAAATAAAAGTTACCGAAACCAGGATTTCATAAAGCACCACTATACTATGACTAATATTTTGAAAATATTAGTCATATGATGCATGTTGCAATCTTTTTTCAAAGAAACCTTCACAAACAGAGACAACTTCTGAATAACAACAAAATAACCTTGTCTTCTATTGTTACCAAATAACCTTGTCTTCTATTGTTACCAAATAACCTTGTCTTCTATTGTTACCAGAGAAAACATGCTGGCAATAAGGTTAAAAAAATCACCTTTTCACTCTACATAATAATATTGAAAAACTTTATATTTCAGTCAATGTTTTGCCATTACAGCCTCATTAGGATTAGTAGAAGAAGAACAGCAAAAGCCCCGATGAAGCCACAATAGCAAAATTGGCTGAAGTAAAAAAGTTTTTGTTATTACCTAGAGAGTAACTGTTTTTTTTTAAATCTATTATCAAAATGTCTAAATCCCTCCAGTATGCACTACAAATTCTGAAAAACAAAGAAATTATTATATGATAACATATTACATGAAATAAACACAAATCCCACTTTCAAGTTATGGTGCATGCTGGGCAATAATAAAAGATATGTGTTTAAACTAAAGATATATAATTTTTGTGACAAAAAGATATACAAATTATTGCTCTTTCTTAGCTTCAATATTTATCACAATTACCTTAAGAAAGTTCTCTATGTTTACATTAGTTTTTCGTCTGAATAAAACAGAGCTCTTCAAACAAATGTAGGTACAGCCTTATCAGTTTTAAATAGTTAAGATCTTTCTCATTCAAATACTTATAAATTATTCAACATTAACTAAATGTTAGACAAAAAAAACAAGTTTATCAATACAAATTCGAGTATATATTATGTTAATCAGCATCAACTTGTAAAAAAAGAAAAAGGTTAACGTATGATTTCTTATTATTATGATAGTCTTCATCATCAGTATAATCCTTTTATTTCTGTACTTTTCTCAGTTATCCATCTTAGTTCTGTAAAATTCGTGAGTTTATTGAATTCATTTAACACTAATGTTTTTCCACATTGAATAGCAATATAATCAAATATTCACAAATGACAAGCTAAACTTTGTATCTGTCAGTTATTCTATGTTTCTTTTACTGCAACATCTTACTGATTTTACAACATAATTAAATATAACAACACAATATCTCAGTTAATACTTTCTACAAAGTTAGTTCCAGCACACTCATTTGATGTTTCATCTGATTGACCCTTTGCAGAGATATGTTTTAAGGATATCTTATGTCATATTTAACAATAATGTTTCAGAGAATGCTAAATATTAATTCCTTTGCTTCAGCAGTAGTGATTACTCTTTTTCCAGACCTTTTTGGTTGTTGTTAACTTGGTCAATATATTGCAGTTATTACTATAGAGTTCCAAAGTCACTGAAACAGGCTATTTTCACGGTATAACTGTTTGTTTTCTTACATCACATCCATCTTTTAGTAGCATTTAAAATGACTTACCTACAGCTCTCTGTTACATAACTTATTCATCTTTACAGACATCCAGTATTCAAGACTTATTTATGATAAATATTAGGAGTCCTCCAACATTCACTGCTTTCACTATTTTAAGATGATAGGGAAGGAAGTTAAAGCATAGTTGATTTCACTTTTTTTAAATCTACCGTGGCTTAACAATAATATAAAACTGTTGAAGTAGAGCAATGAATTTCAAAGAAGACCCATGATTAATTCTATACTTTTGTGAAATCATGTTATCCCACTGAAGACATGAAATAGTAACATAAATTTGTTACACGAACACATCATTAAAACAGCCACAAGAGAACTTGGGGATTCCTATGAGATGTATTACATGCATAGCCAAGGCAAATATATCTGTGTAGGGTTATAGGCACATAGTTATACATTCTAAGGCACAATATGCACATATTAATAAACATCATACAGTGAAAAGAAAGGGTTAGGACACTTGTTTTTAAAAAATTCCTCTGAACCATGATACAAATCTTGTATATCGTCAGAGAAAATTTACATCATTTCATTCCAACTAATTTGACACAATATTAGTTTCATTGTTTCTTAACAACAAGCAGAATAATTTTAGTTTTATTTTCCAACAAACATCATAGCAAAATGCAATAATTACCAAACAATTTTCTTGTGAATTTTTCTAATAATTAAGCCACATTTTACAGCTATAATTTGATAGTTCACACAAAAGAACAGCAAATTTCCTTACGGTCATGTGAACCCTTCCACACTGCTACCATAACATACATGTTGTTTTTATGCATATGTGTGATTTTGTTTACTTTTGTTATTTCTCAGTAACTTTATTGTCTTTTTACACTTTACAAACTTTGCTGCCACAGTTTTGTCAGTCCAAACCCAAATTTTCAACCTTTAAATAGTTACATACATAAAAACAGGATTTAATTAATTACATCATTGCTTACATAAACTTTGTCAATGGAACTACTTCATTAAGACTCTAGTTAGTGTGTTTACAGATACACAAGGCTATACATTCTTAAACATTTAGCAATGAGATAGACATTAAAAACAACAATGACATATAATTCACCACTTTAAATACAGCTTTGAGATAGCCTAGTTACCGACAAGAAGTGATAATCTCCAAACGTTTTATCGTTGCTTACGTAAACTTTGTCACTGGAACTACTTCATTAAGACTCTAGTTAGTGTGTTTACAGATACACAAGGCTATACATTCTTAAACATTTAGCAATGAGATAGACATTAAAAACAACAATGACATATAATTCACCACTTTAAATACAGCTTTGAGATAGCCTAGTTACCGAGGAGAAGTGATAATCTCCAAACGTTTTATCCCTGGAAAAGGGACTAAGACAAAATACAAGGCACACTTTTAACATAATTCTCTTATTAGCATTTAGTGAAAGAAAGACCAGAAACAAGTCTTATGTTAACAGACAATTTTCTAAAATATATGTCTTTAATCAATGATAAAATAATACAAAATCATCAATATCACTAATTTTCGATATCAGCCAACAGAATCATTTCATCCTCGAGTGCATTCTTTCTGTAAATGATAATCAAGGTTTTTTTTGGCAAAAGTTATTTCTATTGGAGTATAAGCAGACTCTCCAGTACATTGACCCAGCAACAAAAAAAACTGAAGAGCAGCCAAATCAAACAAAAGTTATTATCATATAAAACATTATCGCTCATCTGTTGTACTTTTATACTACATACACAGTATCCGCTATAATTAAAATACCAAATAAAACAAAATCCACTAAGAAATTAGCTTTCACATCACTAACCTGTAAAGTTCCTGTTTTATCTTCCCATTAAGAGAAAATTAGTTTGTATTATTCATCAACTGCCGATCCTACACAATAAAACCCGTCTTCACTTTCATATCATTTAATTCTTTAGTACACATCAATATCCACAATTACTTTATAATCATATCTAGCAGCTCTTTTCAGATCTTCATAAGTTGAGTATTAAACCTAATATAAGTAACACTACCCACAAGTTACTAGCTTAGAATGTCAAAAGGATCTTTGTGTTCAAAAACATTTTCATCAGAAGGATCATCGTCACTACATGCATCATTTTGATCTTCTATGTCACTTGGATCGACGGGTAAGATTTCTCCTTTCTCTCCACCTTCATCAGGTGCTTTTCTTAGACCTTGTATTTACAGGAGGTTTTTATTATTGGGTTTAATGTTAACAGAAATCAAATATGATAAAATTTATTCTTTCACTTTTACGAGTTCATCATAAACGAAAGTTAGTTAAATAACCAATTTCAACAAGTTAAAACCTGTTTATTGTCAGATATACATGGTTACAGTATTTCAATACAAGAAGTGAACTCAAAAACTAGCAGATGGACATGTTGGTGTTTGACTGGTTGTGCTTAACAAGACTGCAAAACATAAGGAAGATGGAAATGGTACAAACAACTAATGCTATTTTTCTATATATATATATATATAGTACTAGAATCAGTCAGTATTAATTATAATACTAGGTAATTATAGTA